GGCGGCGAGGGGAAGCCTCCTTAGCCTTGCCCTTCTTGTCATCCTTGGCCTCTTTGGCCTCCTTGGCCACGCCCTCCGGCATCCTGCCGCGCTGCCTTCACCACCTGGAAACAAAGAAAATTAACGGATGAACAACAAACTTCAATACTTTAAATGTCATATAAGTGCTTAGATATAAATATTAATTACTACAAGACATAAAGAAACCATAAAAAGGGATTTCAAGAGATAAATCCAAATTAAAATTAAAAATGCAACGTACAAAGCTGCACTCTAAGAAACAGGTCAGCTATAAAAGCAACGAGAGTCGTAATTCCATTCATTTTATACTCCACTGCCGGTTTAAATTGCGACCGCGCGGCACACCGACCTCTCGAGAGCGTAATGGATTCAAAACAAAAGGTTAAATTGTGAATTTGGACGACGTTTTACAAACTAAGTACAGATACGGTTGTACGGTCGAATTTCGTACAATTAACCTGAATAATTAATTTTAAGTAATTGCATTTAAATAACAATAAAAGGGCCTATTAACTGAAATTACGTTATATTTTATATACAAATGCATTTTTATTTTATGCCAATTAAGATACATCTGGTTAAATAAGTATTCATTTTTGAGATTACAAAGGTCTCTTTCACAATACTTGCGCTGGATTAAAACTCTGTTTTTAATCACTGGACTGGAATATAAACCGTACATTCCAATAATATTTCTGGCAACAATCAGCCGTTACGTTAAATTGATCAATCATCAAGGGTAATTAATTTCACATACAAGACAATAAAACCCTAACACAATACTGTAGCGGCGTGGGAACAACCTTGGCGCATCCTACCTGTCGTGGATTCGAAGCAGAGCATTGTTTGCACTCAGAGATAATTATCAATGAGTTAACTGCTATTTACCGTTGGTTGCGGTGACATGAGCTACAAGAACATGTTCTTAGACAAGTTTACTGTATTCGACTGCAATATATTAGTTGTGTTCTATCTTAACTAAGAAAATAAAAAAATATATAGACCGACTATACGAAGTGGTATTTTGTGCTTATTTCATTTTCGCCATGTGGCGCTGTCAGTCACGGTGGGTGACGGTGAGAATTTGAACTAATAATAGAAATACTCGTATAATTAACTGTTATTGTCATTAACAGGAGTATTTAAGTGGACGAAGCAACAAAGACATTTCCAAGCAAAAACCTATCCATTTATATATATCAGAGAATACAGATTAAACACATATAGATCGTGCGCACATTTTAAATTAAACTATAACACGACTGTTTAGTTTTGCTTTGATTCCTATAAGCTTAAATGGAGGTGCGCAGACAACTTTCTAGTTGTACAACTAAACAGTTGAATTGGCTGCGAAGCAATCGACAATCGCGTAACATTTATGCGATAATTTAGTCAGAGATGTGCGCCAGCTGTCAGTATTGAAATATGTTGATAATGTAAAAAAATACTTAGTCTTATCAAATTCAATAATAAACCACCTTATCTGTTATCAAAGCTTATCACACAACTACGCGTATCCGTATCATACGTAATGAATGCAATTTAATGCACTGCAATACATAACGAATTGCACCTATATTTCAAATACGGTTGTCGTTATTGGGATAGGCAGAGATTAAAGTTTTAAAGTTGTTATTGTACAGTTCTATCCAAACTTTTCTTGACTAATAATTTCGTACACGTTGCTCATACCATTTTTGTATCTTGCAATAAAAAATTACATTCATAAGTTACTTTGAATGAATAATCTGAAGATAAGGCGTATTTCCTGACAATATAATAAACATTAACTACAGTATAATAGTGGGCAGAGCACAATTTACTTGCCATTAAATGGCGAATTAATTGGTTTTGTAATACCGCGTCTCTGAGTACCATAATTCAACAAGTCCAGAGTACTATCAGGTTACCGTGATTTACATATTAAGTGAAGGATATGACGTATGTGACACAAGATCTGGGGACCTAGCACGATAATCAAGAAAGTAAAAATAATTACCAATGAAATTTGTAATTTGCAAATTGCATCGGACATAAAGTACACCAAACATCTATTATATCTTTTCTTTCTCGTCATATTCTATTATTTTATTTAACTAAACAATAATCCTTTTAAAGGCTGGTGTAAAAACAAAAACAATAGACTCGAGCGGTTTGAGTCAGTGTTTACAAACAGATCTTACAAATGACCTAAAAGCTACCTAGCTCTAGACAGTGTGTACACAGACGTTACCTTTTATAACAAGAGTCCTGAGATAGCGAGCCTTTTGCATGCTTAAGTTATAAAGTTGCCGGTTTTATGTAAACTTAATGTAGAAAATGCTAGTTTTTTTTGTGCTATATCTATACTAATATAATAAAGCCTAAACAGACTTACTTTGATGTCAGCAATCACAGTATATTTTTAAACAATTCTCTCTTTAATAATTAACTCTACTTATTTACCTTTTAGGCTATAGATTTTCACACTATTAAACTGAGGGAATAGATTTGGAAAAACCGTCCTGCAGGAACGAGATAAAAACTACAAGCTGACATCAAGGAAACAAGGTTGCCATAGTAACGGTAAAGCAATAAATAGTTAGTTACTGAGAAATCTTTTTAATTTGATCTATAGGACATTTCTAAATGAATAACTTTACCAAGAGCACGTTATAAAGGACCTTTTCATCCCAGAAGGCCCCATTCATACAGGAGTTCAACACGACCGTGGGTCGCGGCCCTAATTCGTGCCAATTGTCGGACCAAGTCGCGGATAAAGACACGTAATCAGATGGTCATCGCTATTCCTGACATACAATATCATATCATAGACAAGATAATATTGAGAATATCCTCATATTGCATTTGACAAGATTTACATTCTTCTCTCTGTCTATTAAAGTTATTGCCTAACTTTGACACTAGTGTGTTGACATAGATATTTAAGAAATACATAGACTAGAAATAGCGAACAACATATTACACTGGTAACTTCTTTGAAAGGTACTATGTTAGTTGTTATATTTAGTGCCAAATCATGTCTTATTGTCATGTTTTAAACATTTTACAAATCTTGTGAAAATTTCTTAAATCAAGTGTCGACTATGCTTCCTCTATATTTTTTAATATCTATGGCAACACAACCTCGTTCATTTATTTTATATGACTGTAAACGTCACTGTCAGAGCCCAAATTAATAGTGTTTTCTCTTTTTTACTTTAACAAATGAGTGTGATGGCTACATCATACCATATTTATTCAATGAGACTGATGTGTGCTTGTTTTGCATTGTAGGGCGCAGATGTTTATAGCACGTGCTTGTATTTACGACATCCGCATCGAGCCCGCAGCCTCTTGAACGGGCTAT